GAGAGAGAGAGATTTAATTTACCTAGTCTTTTCAATCAAAGAAATTGATACATTAACAGGATGGGTAGTGATGGTGGCAGTGGCAGGGAAAGCAATTAAAAAATCTAATTTTTCTTTCTAAAAGCACCAGCCCCTGAATTGGATAGATCCCGTTGGACTGGAAAGCAGACAAAGTTTGAATAGAACTTTTATTCAAATCTAACAATTATTTTGTTGTGCTTAGATGTTGGGATGTTGGGAAGAATATTTTCTTTCCCAGGAGCCAATGTTCTGGACATTAGGGGGCTGGATCAGTTTCTTAGGGCAGTCATAACAAAGTACCATCAACTGGATGGCTTAAAATAATGGGTGGCTTAAAATAATGGGTCATAACAAAGTACCATCAACTGGGTGGCTTAAAAAAATTTCTTTTCTCACAGGTTTGGAGGCCAAAAATTCAAAGTTAACATGTAGGCAGGGCCATGCTCTCCCTGAAGCACTAAAGAAGAATTTGTTCCTTCCTCTTAGCTCCCAATGCTGCCCGCGATCCTTGGTGTTCCTTGGCTTGTAGACACATCACTCTAACCTCTGACTCCATAGCCACATGGTGTGCACCCTATATATGCCTGTGTTTTCTCTTCTTATAAGGACACCAATCATATTGGATTAAGGCCCATCCTAATCCAGTATGGTCTCATTTTTATTTGATTGCAAAGACTCTATTCCCAAATAAGGTCACATTAGCAGGTACTAGGGCATTAGAACTTTAACATAATGTTGTGGGGAGACACAAGTCAATCCATACAGGGACCACAGTCTGGCATGGGGAGGGAGGGATGGTAGAGAAGACAAGACTACCTACAGTGCCAAGAGGATTCCACTCATGGTTAGAATGGGTTGAATTACTTGGCCTGCCTGGGATAGTCTCCATTTGGTGATATCAAGTCTTGGTTCCATAGCTACCCAAGGTCTTAGACATCAGATTGATCATTCAGCTAAACACCAGGTCATCCAGGAAGTGGGCATGCTCTCCAGGCAGGGAAAGCTCATCTTTGAAATAACTTTGTGACATGATAGAAAGAGCACTCAGAGAGTCAGAAAGTCTGGGTTCGTTCTTTTCTAATGGCTCACCTACTCCGTAAATTGAAAGCACATTAATAAACTCCTTTGACCCTCAATGTGTATTTCCATAGAAATAAAATATAAAATAATTTTCACCTACTGCAATTTTATAATACAACTTAAATGAGGAAAGTGGGTGAAAAGAGTTTTGCAATGTATCATGTTTTGTTTTATTTTTATTTTTTAAATAAATGAAAAGTCCCTTTCTCCTGCTCACATGGGCAGAACCTTTCGTCATTCTGTTTAAAAAGTTGATGTGATTCTTCCCATACCCAGAGTGGGCTAATATGACTTAAAGTTGGAAAGGATACCATCTGTCTGTGGCTCTAAAACTCAAGGTGATCAAAACTGCCTTTCAAAACCCCCAGTGGCCTTAATCTTTTAGCATCTGGTGCTACCTGATGGAACAGATTTTTATCTGGGTAGGTAGTTAGAGCCTAATCCTTTAGCCAAGCCTATAAGTCTAAAGGCATTAGAGCTGATGATAAAAAGAAAAATAAAGTCTTTCTTTAGACGTCCTCCCTCTCAAAGCCTTAGGGGAGGAATGTGCAGCCCTCTGCTCGCTGATGATGAAATTAGTGGGCGTTCGTCATTCAACACAAAGGCGAGAAAGGACTGGAATCTGATGTCAAAAGCCATAGAAGAGAATATATTTCACACAGCATATCAGGTCCCAACGCAAATTAGAAGAAATATGGGGAGGCTTCCAAAAGGTAGGTCAAACTTTTTCCTCAAGCAGATAATTACAGACTGGGGGTGAGTAAATCTTATTAGCCTCTTTCCACCTCGTCTCTTCTCATAAAACACTGTAAAGAAGAAAGCCATTCCAATTCAGAACTGGACCGCTCACCCGAGAGAGGCCTAGCCCAGTGGTCATCAGGACACCTGCAGTCAGGTTGTTGATGCTCACTGTCATTCCCCCACCCTGATGTCCCCCTACCAGAACGCAGGTGAAGACAGCCAGCCAAGCGTGGAGTTCCACGATGGACTTGCAGAGACTTGGTGACTTCTCACTGTCTGAAGAATGATCCCTTCAGGCAGCAATTTTCCAGTCAAATTTCTCAGCCCAAGTTTGAGGCCTTAAAATTAATGAAGTTGTTAACATTTCTTAAAATGTCTTTCACGGAAGTTGAAAGGTATGGATTTATCACCCGACTCAGCTGGCCTCTTTGATTCATAGACTTGTAGGCTGAGCCCTGACCAACATCCTTAAGGGGACCAGACTCTTGGCGTTAGCTCTGCCTTTAGCTTGTTCTGCAGTGGGTCTTGGGGCAAGTCCTTAACATCTGCGCTCTGAGGTCAGCCCACTGGGGACACTCGGGCTTAGTTGCCTATGGAATGATTTCTCCGGTCTATGACCACTGAAAGGGCAGGGCCAACCCTTACCTGTCTTTATATTTGCATCACTTCCCACATCAGGCACAGGGCCAAGCACACAGAGATGATGATGGTGGTGGTAATGTCTTCATAAGTCTCAGCTAAATTAAATATGGCAGAAAGATGTAAAGCCTCTGAAATGCCCACCATGATCGGTTAAGGGACCACCAATGCAGAATAAGCTCCTCCTTCCCCATACATCAATAGCAACAATGGTGATGACTTGGGTACTCTTACCCAGAACTTGAGCAGTAACTGCCAATGGTTTGGGTCCTCTCCTCTGCCAAGAACGGAAATCATGAGGATTCCAGGCCATGAGGAGAGTTTGAAAAAGATCTTGAAAAACCTCCAGATTGATTCCTTTGCCCTAAGGTGGCATGACATTTCACCCTCATTTTACAGATAAGGAGGATGAAGCTCAGGGAGCACCAAATGGGTTTATCAGGGCCAAGTCGTGGGTTGGAGGCAGCTTAATAAGCTTTCATGGTTTTCTTCTTTTGACCTGCAACCTCTTAAAAGATGCTCCACAGGGAACAAATATGTTGCCCTCTGCAGAATGCAGGGGGTAGATCTGTCTTTTTTGGGCCTTCTGCATTTTATAAAAATTGTTCTCCTGTAGAGATACTGAATGACTTTGGGAGCAAACTCAAAAATATTACCTGAAGACCAGTTGTATTGCAAATCTGGTTACAAACCATTAACAATGCAAAGATCCAGATTTCAATTATTTATAGATACTTGCCCTTATCATAAGATGACACTGAGTGTCTGGCTTAAATAAAATCAGGAAGTAATTCTTATCTGGAATCTCCTGACGACCACTGATCTTTCTCTCCTGTGAGGGCTGCTTAAGAGCCACAGGAAACATGCCAGCACAGAAGATAATTCTAAACTGCCCTAGGGTTTTTGATGGGTTTTTTTTTTTTTTTTAGTTTAAAATATGGTACAGAAAGGTACAGTTAATATGAACCAAGAGCATTATAGATGAGAGGACAGCAGGCTTTGGACTGGAAGCTTTTCTATAGTGAGTGGAACATCTCTGTTAGGTACATTTGAAATAGCTTAGGCCAAGGGTATAGACTGCATAGAGGAATAGGTAAATATGCCCAGAAGGGAATCTAGAACTCAGTGCTACACTAGGTTTATAAATACTTAATTGAATCAGGCCTGATGAATGAGTTTCATCTCTGGAGGCCTTTTGCATTCATTCATCATAAATATGAGGCTGGTGCAAAAGTAATTGTGGTTTTGCCATTGAAAGTAGTGGCAAAAGCCACAATTACTTCTGCACCAATCTAGTAAGTCTTTATGCATATCTTCCATGTGACAGAATAAAGTGGAAAGCAAAGCTTAGTGCCTGTCCTTATGGGGTTCACCCTGGAGGAGTTCAAGAGGATTAAAATGTTCATTTGGAAATGCTTCTTCTCTCCTCTAAATCTCCTCACTGTGGAGACCCAGCTACTATGAACTGTTTGAATGAGCACAGAGAAGGAGGAATCTTATACCATGTAAAGCAGCCTCCTGAGGGCTCCTAGGACAGGACCTACCAGGCTGTGTAGGTGGCACCTGGGAGAAAAAATGAAAGTAGGGAAAGAACTCTGGCTTGGTAGCTGGAGACGCCACTCTGTGTGATCTTATTAAACTTAGTTTCTGCATCTGTAAAAATGTAATTGGACCTGGTCTCTTTATGTCGGATGCTGTTGCAGAATCAAATGAACTGAAAAAATATCAAAGAACATGTTTGGGAAACTTTAAGAAGCCTCCCAACTGTAAGGGGCCCTGGAAGACCTGTGTCGCTCGTAATAATAATCCCCTCTTAAGAGACTGTGATTGTTGACTGGGCGCGGTGGCTCACTCCTGTAATCCCAGCACTTTGGAAGGCTGAGGCCGGCAGATCATGAGGTCAGGAGATCGAGATCATCCTGGATAACACAGTCAAACCCTGCCTCTACTAAAAATACAAAGACAAAAAAATCAGCTAGGCATGGTGGCAGGAGCCTGTGGTCCCAGCTACTCAGGAGGCTAAGGCAGGAGAATGGTGTGAACCTGGGATGCGGAGCTTGCAGTGAGCAGAGATTGCACCACTGCACTCCAGCCTGGGTGACAGAGCAATACTCCATCTCAAAAAAAAAAAAAAGAGAGAGAGAGAGAGTGATTGTTAGAAACGCTGTGGGTTAGAACCAGAAAGTAAGCCACAGTCAAGATGCAAATAAGCATCTCCTCCAACGATTGATAAGGGGATGGCTGGAATACTATATACCATAAAGGCTAAGCGGGAGGGATATGGCAGCAACAAAACCCTTGGCTCCCATGAGGATACAGAGCGCAGCTGGAATGGCCTGGCTGGAATGCTCCAGTGGGTTGAGTATCACTGGGAGACAGAGGGCTCAGAAAGACTTCTTTTGTATATACGTAACTGAGGGAATCCCCTGAAGCACTATGAATCCCAAACTGAAACTCACAGAGTCCTTATTATGGGATGGTGATGGTGCATCACAAGTAACTATTAAACATATACTTACCATATCGGCTGCGATGAGACAGGAAAGGGAAGGAGTCTTTCATTATCCAGGTGAGATTCCATGTAAAATAATCAGGAGAAGGAGAAGGTATGTTTGTTGGTGACTCCAAGGAGCTATGACCTGGACATAAAAACAAAGAAAACACTGATTCATGCGCTTGGGGTGTGTCTTTTAGCTGTCACCCAATATCAGTCAAAAAGGAAGTTTATGAGGGGCTTTCATGACATCCACTGGAAAGATGAGGGGAAAAAATGAGCCACTAGTAGACTGAGTTGACCTCAGGACCCTGACGTACATTTTCTACCAAGGGCAGACAGATCTAAGAGGTCTGAATGTTCTGACCAAGGCCACGCTGAGGAGCTCTGGGAGATGAACTAGAAGCCGGGGCACTTAATGGCTTGGTCTAAGAGTTCTATCCAAAGTCTATTCTGTCTATTTAATAATCTGTGCAGCTTTATAGAGAACTCCAATTCACCTCATCCAGATAATGCCTCCATCCCTACTTTATGTTCAGACTTGTAACTTCATCTAACGTTGTTTGCTTAAGTTATTGCCTTATCAATGAGAGGGTTGAGATCGCACTCTGAAGTTATGAGTTCTTAACAATTATGTTATTTTCAGGGTTGTGGGGGAAGCGAGGTGACTGGAGTTTTCTGAAAGACAAGAGGACAGAAAGCCAGAAGGATGAATGCTTCTGATTTGCATGAGAGAAAGAAGGCTTGAAAGAAAAGCAGCAGAGAAGCACTATTCCTGTCCTTAGCAGCACCTCAAGTGGATTTTGTGTGGTGAAAAGTCATTACAATATATCTACAAATCAAATGATCACACACTGCCTGCTCTAACACAGTGCTTCCCAGAAAATCCCAAGCTCAATCACTATTTGCTAATGTTTTATGGCAGACAAAGCCTTTTTTCGTTAGAGAAGGGAGGATTTGAGAATTAGTTCTCTTTCATAGATAGATGTGTCGCAAGACTGAGTGCAGGGAGGAAATGAAGGAAAGTAGCATTTCTTCTGTAGCTTCCCCAGTACAGGCGCCATGCTGGAATCTTTACCTACATAATGTCACATGATATTCACCATGGCTCTCTGAGATAGAAATGATCATCTGCATTTTACAGATGCATCAACTGAGATGCAGAGAAGCAAGTGATGGAAGCAGGAACTGGGCCCAGGTTTGCCTCAGATCAACAGGCCATGTTCTATGGAGAATGCCTGATCTGCTACTCTGGTGGTAACTGTTAACGCACTTGGAGGAAGTCTGTGAAGAAGAAAAGGAGGAGAAGAAGAGAAAGAAGAACAGGCAGGCAGCAGGAGTAGCGGAGGCATTTGCCCGGTCTGCCTGCTCTGCAGTTTCTTCCACATCACCCCCTGCACCAGCTCCGGCAGGTTCTGGTCTCCTACTTCTAACTCCCTTTTAGTATCAGCCCCACTTCACACACTTGAAGGAAATCTCTGGCCTGGGTACCCATGGCAGTCTCTTGTTTCCAGACCCCTCCGCTATTTTACCTGCAGGGGCTACCCTTAGGTGACGCTGATTAACGGTCCTTGTGCCCTGCAGCTGGGACAGGATGGGCATTCCATGGTCTCCTTCCTAAAAAACATTTTAATCGCTGCTTTCCATAGATCTGAGTTGGACGTGCTGGCTCCTGAGTATCTAGGAAAGAATTTTGGCTTTTCTCTTATATTTGGTCTATAGAGATTAGAATGAAATTGATTGAGGCCAGGTACATCTTTCTGCAGTATTTCTGCAAAACAGCTCAGAGGAAAGGCACTGAAAGGGGTGAGAGCCTGTGCTCGGAGTGCAGAGAGAAGCTGTCTCATTTCACCTGTACATCAACTCTGCTTCACAGACAGGCAGTGGGCCTCAGAGAAGTGAATGCAAAGCCACATAGGGTTATTTTGGGTGGGGTTAGTTTATTAGTCTTTTAAAAAATTAGTATGTATTGAGCACATAGGAACCAGATATGATGCTGAGTGCTTTAAATGTGTGATTTTGTTTGCTTCTTACAGTAATCTTGTGATTAAATTTATTTGTCCACATTTTGCAGCTGAGGAAATTGAGGCATAAAGAGGTTAGTTACCTTGACTACAGCCACACAGCCAGCAGGAGACAGGAAATCAGGGTCAAAAGATTAGATCAACTGACACTGAAATCCAAGCTCCTTTCACTACTCTGCACAGGCCACAGACTAGTGCAGGGTGGTCCTCGGCTCTCCACAGGGCCTGGTAGGGCCCCCACGGCACAATGGTTGAGGTGGAAGGTCACCACTGAGCATGCTTCAGAACAGGGCAAGTGGGAAGGGTCTGGGAAGATTCGGACAATCAACTCCCTGCAGTGACTCCCATGTGAATAAAAATTCGCTTAGACTCTAGGTCTGAGTCACCAGCTAATCTCAAATTTTAAGTAGCTTTGAAGTGACAGGAAGACTAAGCCTAGGTTATACTTCCCTGTTTCTAAGTGATGTCATTTTTCTGAACCATTCAGTTTGGGAATGATATTAACTTCTTGGATGTGAAGAACCAAGCAGATGGGGCTAGACTTCAGGAAGCACTTATGAATCTGTGAATGGGCACAGAATGGCAGATAACTTTAATATGAATGAGGGCCAGATAATATATTCAGGGGTTAAAAAAAAAAAAAAAAACTTTCAAAAGGAAGGGCTCTGAGGGCTGTGTCATGACCTAGCAAGGTAACATGGACATCACTGCAGGTCATCCCTTCAGAGGCCTTTTATATCACAAAACACAAGAACTTGCCAGGCATCCAGAGGGTTGAATACTGCAGGGTTGAAAAAAAAAGCGTAAAGTCTTATCTTGCCCTTACAGGAACTCCTAGAATTTCTTCCTGCCAGTGGGCTCACAGGGTCCCTAAACTTACCCCCCAGAGTAGGGAGGGCAAGTGATAAGCTGGATGAGGCTAGGGAGCTAATGCAGGGGTCAGCTAAAAGGCCGAGCCTCCCCACCTGAAAAGTCAAGGATCAAGGAAAGCAAAGCCCACATGAAGGCAGTTGTTTGCTCAAATCAGAAGCATTGGAACAGAAATGAGTGCTAGTCAAAGTTCATAGAATACACATCAATGTAGAACATAACAAACAAAATATTTCTGCATTTAACAAGTGCAGGGTCAAGAGACTGTTCCCATCACGCTCTTTACCCTTGCCCTTCCCAACCACTGCAGGGAAGGATTTTCTAGCAGAAAGAGAAGCCAAGCCATCACAAGCAATCCATTTAAGCTAAAGAAAGCCTTGTGTTTTCAGGGTTCCACTCTGAAAATATGAGGATCCAGAATGAAATGGGCCTCAATGCAGACGTATGGGTGAAAGTATGAATGCAGACCAACGGGCTCAAGTAGAGTGACTCTTGGACCTTGGGAGATGAAGTGTAGAGGAGAAAGGAGTGGGGAAATAGGAGTAGGAGCTTCTAGGTGCCCAAGTGAGGCAGACAAGCAAAGGCCAGAAGAGAAATGAGGAAGAAATGCACCTGGATTGAGGGCATTATTGATTCGCTGGCGATACAATTGTTGTTTTTCTGATGATTTCTTAAGCCCTTTCTAGGCACTGCAGGGTATCAAGGCAGAGTGAAAACCTCAAGCTCTTGATACTCAGCATTTTTCCCTGTGTATCATCCCCCTAATGTCCTTAGCTTCAGCTCCAGGGCTCACCTCTATCATAATTCCATTGCACACAATCTCAACTTCTTTGCCTCTTTCTTTACAATTATCCTGGAGCAGGTGGATGTGGTAGTGGGAGAAAAGGGGTAGAGGAACACACAACAGTGCTGATGGGCCTCATTTTAAATTCATCACCAGAAACCTCAAGACCCTCAGGATGGCCCAGGAATCCCACTGCCTTCCCTAACTCAGTTCACTCTATTTCCAATACAACTAGTTGAAACTTCCTCTTAAGTTCTCAAACCTCCAATTCCCCATATGCTTCCACATTGTCAGCGAATGAATTTGTTTCTTAGCTTGTTGAGAAAAGAGAAGCAATCTACCCACTCACAGGTATCAGTGCCTTCTCTTCTGTTGTAAAGGATAACAGTCTACACTCTTAAACAGCACCAGCCTCTTCACTTAGGTGCTAGTCTCGTCTCTTCTCAAGGGATCTGCTATTACAATGGTCCTGTATCAACAATTTTCCCTCTCTGCCAAGTCAGTCACACAAACATGCACCATCTTATAAAGAAAGAAAAAGCTTCTTTGACCGTCACACTCTTCTCCAGTCATTGTCCCTTTACTCTGCTCTTCTTTACAGCTAAATCCATTAAAGGATTTGTCTTTGCTCCTGTCTCCTCCAACAAAATCTAGATTGGCTTCACTACTCCAGGTCAAGGTCGACAACCCTAGGCTGCAAATACATTGAACAACTCTCGGTTTGTTTCACTAGACCCCTCAGAAGCATTTGTCCCTGCAATCACTCCCTGTTTCTTGGATTTCTTACATCCTGGTCACCATGTAGCCTTTGGTTGCCTCTTGCTTCAGTGGGAAGATCCTCTTTATTCTTCTGTGCCAGATCTTCCTCATTTTCCAAACTGTAGAGGAGGAAACTTCTCCTTTTCCAGCAGCACTTGCTTAGGAATTGTCATGGCTGAGTATTGTATTTTATCCCAGTGGTTCTAACCAGCTGATGATCAATGATCATGAATTTCAAGTGACTGTGGGACACCAGACCCTTCCTGTACCTAACTGAAGACTCTTTGCTGACCAATGAAGGGAACTTGTTTACTCACACTCACACAAGCCTATGCATTCATTCATTCTCTTCAGTTCAAATAACCGATTTTTAATTCCAAATAACCAGAACAACATTGTAGCCCTCTTTGTAAGGCTTTTAAAACTCTGACTTTTCTTACTTGGAAAACCATGCAGTGAATTTCTCTTTGCCTGACATGTAAGTAAGCTTGTCTTTAAAAAAAAAAAAAAAAAAAAAAAAAAGTCTGTGGGATCTTTATTTTATTATTTGACAATTGTTAAAAGTTGGAGAACTTGGGCATTTTCTGCATCTAAACTTTCTCTCAAAGTGATCTCACCCAGTTTCATAGCTCTAAATATCATCCACATACTACTGTTACCAAATTTGTGTCTTCAGCCCAATCTCTCCCCTGAACAACAGAATACACA